CGTTTTCCACTACCAAGTCTGGAGCAACACCGGGCTCGGCGGCCGTCAGCCTCGGGTGCTTATCCGGTCCCGGCACCCATCACGAACGGCTCCGGGATCCGATCCAGGGTAGCTCCAAGTACCCCGAGGACGGGGAGGACGAGGACGCCATCTTTGATTTTTGCTGCTCCCTTACGCGGGTGCCGGTGAACTTGACGTAACTGAGGTGGGTGAGGAGCTCGTGGGCCCGACCAAGATGCGCCCTGATGAGCAACGCCGAGGAGGACACTACTTTTACGCATGTCCTGTCATAGTCCCCGATCGTAGTGTGAAGCGCGCCGCCTGGAGGTATCGATTGCGAGGGTGGACATGTGGTGACTGTTCTGCTTGTTCCAAAGCTGCGGAGCACTTACCTTTGCCTTTGATTGCAATGAAAAGAGGTGCGTATAGAGACAACTGATGAGAAATCGATAAAATAAGGCAAGCTGAGTGTGGTATTCATTTTGTAGGTGCCGCCTCTGTTGGGCTGTCCATTAAAAACTCTCCGGTCTTTTCTGATAGCCATGTTGCCAGTTTTATTTGACATTGGTCAGTATCCAGTCCGTTCATTTGCTCAGTGCTATTGACGAAATGAGGTCGGTATGAAGGACCAATAATTATGCCCACAAAATGATAGTCGAAATCCATACTTGAGGCGTAGCTCACGTGTCCTAAAGTCGATGCGTGGATTGGGGAGACGGCGGTCCGACGAGGAAGATACCACACCGCACAGATCGGGACGGGCACAGTAAAAAACGCTAATACATGTCGGCCTTTTTACGCGAGCGTGATTATGTGCATGCTGTATCAGTGTATTGTCTACGGAGGCTGAGATGGTGGCACTGGCAGGCCTGCATTGTGCTGCTTTGGCTTTGTCTCCTTGAGCTCGGGCGGCGCACGGACCGACTTTCAGGCGAGCCAAGCCAGCTAAATGACGACGTGCCGCAACATCACCTTTCAACTCAACGCATCCGTCGTCCCAACACATTACACGACGACAGCTCGCGAAACGGCCTCCCTAACACGGGAGAGCTCATGACGACTCCCAGCCTACCAGCCAGTTTTCTTTTTCCCTCTCCACCTCTACAGTGCTGCGCCGTCTGACTGTCATCAAGGGCAGCCCAAGTTCCATGAGCTGCCAAGGGTGGTCTTGCCCCTCCTTCCGCCATGGACTCGGAGCACCTGAGCAATAATGGCGAACTCAAGCCACGAGTTATACCCGCCGACCTTCCGACGTCCCTGGATGACCGAAGACATGCTCCGCTAGAAGACTACATCCCCGAGACCGAGATGTACGATGGCTGGCAAGGTGAGTAGTCTAGGACACAAGGCAAGCCGCAATGAGGGCCGGCGCGCCGTGCAGTCAATGTCTGACGCTCTTTCAAGGCCAATCACAGTTTCTCACAACGCCGGCGTTGGCGAAACCATTAAATTTCGGGAACCTGTCCCTGAATGACGACGGCGATCATGAGCGAGATATTTCCAAACCTCCCAAGGATAGTGACACGCGACTCATGGAGATGTTGCAAGCCCAAGCGGCAGCTCATCAGGCCGGTCACGGACTCGAGGATGAACAGACTATTCTGAATGACGAAAAGCTGTCCGAATCTGAAAAGAAGGACATGCTACAAAAGGCAATGACCATGGCAGCTAGCAATGGCGACGTGGGCAAAGTCAAGAGGCTGCTTGGTGGAAACGGTCAGTCCTTAATCGATGTCAACGCCGCCGACGAGGATGGGACACCTCCTTTGATCTACGCGAGTTGCTTTGTGAGTAGAAGTTTTCTATTGTGGGGTCTAAATGATGACCATGATGGCCTAATACCTGAATAGGGACACGAAAGCGTCGTCAAGGCCCTCATCGACGCTGGAGCCGACGTCAATAGGCAGGACCGGAATCAGTGGAGCGCTCTCATGTGGGCCATGACGAACCGACACAAGGGAATCGCAAAACTACTCCTGGATAATGGTGCATCGTCTGACCAGAAGACGTCCTCTGGCCGAACAGCCTTTGACTTTGTCCCACCGGACAGCGACATGTCCTTTTATCTGTACGACAACGGCTACAACATCGGAAACGCCGGAATTGGCGATGACTTTTACAAGCCGGGCTTCTCGCAGGACCGGTTCGAAGAGGAAATGGCCGAGAATGAGTTGCGCAGGAGGCTTATGATGGACAGTGCTAGAGACTTGGAGGTCGATTTGGGCAATGTGGGAATCGACGACCAGCCCGAGGTACGTATAATACCGGAAAGTCGTTAGACGCGTGTGTTCCCCTGTGCTGACGTTGCGGCTAGCCGGCCGACGAGTTTGAGGAGGAACAGCAAGAGTTTGACTGGAGCCGCTGCTTGCACGACCAAATGTTTGTCTTTCAAGAACACGAGCTCGACCGGATACTCGACATCATCATCACCAAAATGACACCCCAGCGCTCGCCGACACAAAAGCCCGTGCCGGCCAACATGATATTCCTCAGCGCAAGATACGCGCACTACCATGCCAGCCCCGAGTTGCTGGAGAAGCTGCTCGTCACGGCAATGGACCTGATTAATGACGTGGTCGAGAGGTGTCAGTGGGACATGACGATACTGGCGTTCTGGATCTCAAATGCCACGCTGTTGCTGCACTACCTGAAAAAGGATGCGGGCCTTGTTGAGGCGACGGCCGAGTTTCAAGCGCACCTCGCCGAGCTCATCAATGAGATTTTTATCCTCATTGTCCGCGACGCCGAAAGACGCCTCGACAAGGTTTTGGATGCCGCCATGCTCGACCACGAAACGATCCCGGGCTTTGAGGACATTACTTTTCAAAATGAATGGAAGCTCTTCAAGCGGAAACAAACAGTCAAGGAGGAGCCCTTGGAAAAGAGATTCAGGCCGCCCTCGCCCAAGCAGCGCGCAAAGCCAGCGCCTCGAAACGTCACCTCGCTTCTTTCCTCGACTCTCTTCGTGCTGGACCTCTACGACATCCACTCGGTCATCACGGCACAGATTATTTCGCAACTACTGTACTGGCTTGGCGCAGAGCTGTTCAACAGAATAATGTCCAACCGAAAGTACCTAGCACGGACCAAGGCCATGCAAATTCGCATGAACGTATCCATCCTCGAGGATTGGGCACGAACGAATAATCGACAGGCTGAGCACTACGAAGGCGGTGACACGAGGGCCTCTGGGGAGACGGTCATGGATGCCGCTCGGCGTTTTCTCGCCCCCGTCATCCAGCTACTCCAGTGGCTCCAGTGCTTCTCATCGCTTGACGCAGAGGACCTGGAAGCCCTCGTTGGCACCCTTCAACAGCTGAAACGGCTCACACCACAACAGCTCATACACGCAGCTACCCATTACCGGCCAGAAGTCGGAGAAAAGGGACTCCCCAAAAGCGCAATGAAGTATCTGGTGGCGATTCAAAAGGAAGCTGCACTCAAGCGGGACAGGCGCCGCAGCCGGGCGGCATCACCGCTGCCCAAATCGGGCCAAGATGCCAGCAGCAGCCCCACGACACCCGTCAAGGGCAGATCAAACAGCGGCAATCTGCTCGACACCCCCGGAAGCGCGGCAAGTCCGCGCAACCCCGACGCCAACGACGCGTCAGACGAGGAGGAAGACGCACCCGAGCACTTGCTCATGGACCCTGCGCTGATGCTGCCGTTTACGCTGCCATCCGTCACAGACATGCTCGTTTCGTACGGCGCAGGATTCGGCGGGGTCAACCGGGAGCGGGAGAGAAAATATATCCCCTCGGTTCCCGCCGAGTTTTTGGAGAAGCTTGAAGTCAGCGGCGTGCGGAAGGAACCAATGTTTGAGGAGAAGGACTGGGAGAATGAAGAGGTGTAGGGTGGCTGATGGGGTATAGGGAGTAAGTAAGAGAACTAAAAATAAAATAGGCAAGGGCAGAAACGTCCCGGCATATTCAAGACATTTAAATGGCATACGTCAACGCTGGCGGCCATCAAGACATCGGTACATTCAAATCGTATTGCCTCGCAACATTCATAGCGGAGCACGAGTGACGCGGGTGATTCATTCGTATTGCGGGATGAAGTTGAATGTCAATGGCATCAAGTGCATTGTTGTGGCTTCTAACTAGGGGATCGAGACAATCTCCTGCTGAATGCGTTTGTCCACCCCGTGATTATGCACGTTTCCATGTTGAAAAATTGATGGTCCGTTCTTTATTGGCCTCTCCGCGTCCCGGGGGGGGGGC